TGACGAATTTCTACCTACACCACTCAATTCACCCTACTACTCCTCGGTAGTTTAGAAATTATGTTGCCATCATCTAGGTCGCTTTTCCTATTATAGCTGCGTCGCACTGAAATGTTGTCATCTACCAAAATTTGCACTTTTCGTTCTCATTGTACTTACCGCCAGTCTGTTGCTATTAGAATCTTCGTTTCATTCTGAAGTACTTTTCTCACAGAGTAAGGCTTTCGGCATGAGTCCGCATTTGTAAAAGCCCCAAAACAACTACTGGGGAAATTGCAAGAACGCTTGCCAAATTTTACGTATTCATTGCAAACTGATGTCTATATGTGGGTCGCAAAAGAACTCTCAGACGTCCGCTTCGTTTTGTCGTATCTCCTCCTGTGGGTGGTTTTGACTCGTATGGTCACGATAATTTTGTGAATCATTTTAGCAGGTTGCTGCGTGTGCGTCTAAGTATCTCGCGTCTAGCCTCCCGGTCATTGTCTGTTTACGAGTACACAACACCTTACCCGAATACGTAGGTGAATAGGGACCGTGCACAGGTTACGCGTAACTTTCGGCTAAGCTAACGCGACCAGTTCTGCGCAAAGCCATTAAGCCTCTAAGCTGAAGAAGAAAGCCAGACGCTCCAACCGCACTGCAGCGTCTGTATTACTAAATCCACTGGGTGACCTCGCTCCCATAAGCGGACAAACTTCGAACAACCATGGACGGTTTACCTGGAGATTCAGCCCTAACACCGACAGTTCAAAGCCGGAGGCAATACGGTAAAGAAAACAAGGGGGTAACGTCCGCATCGATTGCCTCGATAAACACCCCGGGAGCGACACACGAAAATCCATCTTCACTACCGAGCACAAGTGGGGCGACGCAGTTTTCCCCGCCAACTCCAGTGGTGCCTTCTAAACAGATCAAATTGCCAGCAACAACCTTAAAGCCGACAATTGCGGAGCATAAAAAGACAAATTGCTAGACGACTGCAACCAGTAGTTCCATCTGCGATGCGACTGATCTTCGGGCTAAGCCTAATATGCTGAGACGCGTAGCGCGTCACCCGGACTCAGTGCACTCTGGTGAACCTGGAAATTTTTGAGCAACACTGCACTCAGCAAAGGAGAGAGAGGCAGTCTTAACCTCAGCAGTTCGTCTTCGCAACTCACCGAGCGGAGTGCGCATATTAACTGATCTCCATTGGAAAGAGCGCCCAAAATAACCAGGTGAGCAACGCGGCATTCCTAATAGTGATAGAAAGAATGCCATATTTGTTCATGGTGTTCCAGAGCTTCTGATTTCTCCTGATCACGATGCGCAAACGCATGACCGAGAGCAGTGGTGCTACATCCACGAAGCACTTTCTCTGGACCATGTTAGTGCCAAATCCTTGACAAGAGTTTTGTAATAATCTAAATACAAGGGCTGCGGTCCAATATTGATGAAAGTAGTAGTAAACTTGGAGGGAATGAGGCAAGTTCTATTGGATAACTAGTCAAAGTTTCGAGCCAGGTTGCCAACACAGAAACGGCTAAAGGCAGCAGGCGCAAGGCCACGAGTGCTTAGCAATTCGATGGAACGTGAAAGCGCCGTACATTCTATGCATACACAGTCCTGCGGAGAGATGGACACAACAGCACCCAGAGCATACAACAGGACAGAGGGCAGCACGAGTGAAACTTCTGTTTAAGAACACTACGAGGACATGCAACTTGACTGAAATTCACAAACTAAGAACGATTAAAGGCCGGTCACATAACGGTCGACTTCCAAATAAAGACATCTGACATCTATCAACGCACTCCAAACAACAAAACATTATCCTGATTGTAGACAAACGCGAAGGCCTTCTAAGTAAGTTGGTCGAACCTAGAGAACTCCACGACTCACAACCGCGTGACTACGTCACGACTACAGAGACCTGGTTAAGCCTTGAGATAACCGATTCTGAGATCAATGTACCCGGTATGTCGCTGCTTCGGAACGATAGAACTGGAAGAGGTGGTGGTGTGATTCCTTATTATAATACAAAACTCCGATGTGAATTTATCGAGCACCCGGAAATTCGACCTCCTGATTCGCAGTTGTGAAACAAGAAGACATGTCTACTAGCCGTAATTTCCCGCTCACCAAACTCAAGGTCGGAAATGGACTCCAAACTAAACCAATGCTTTCGGTTTGCTTTGAACAATTACTAAACCCACATTATCGTTGGAGACTTCAATGTGCACGACATGGAAACGCTAGAAACCGATGGTGCGCAGTTTAAAGCCTGCTTGCAAAAGCTAATGGCTAGCCACCCTCTGTACAACCACGTAACGTCTCCTAGAAGATATCGAACTGCTAACAAGCCGTCGATATTCGATCTTGTGCTCACTAATGAGGAACCCATAGTCAAAAGGCTAGTTACAAGCACACCACTGGGCCACAGTGACCATGTTACTCTACTCTTTGACTATATATGCTATGCGGAATATCCTGAAAAGGAGGATGATAAAGTGCATACTGTCACACACTATAATGTGTTATCTACGGTTGTTAAGGATACATCTTGCCCTTCCTTAACCGAATGCCCCTCCCCAGAGGTCACATGGAAAACGATCACAAAAGCGTTTAGCGCACTGGTAGCGCACGAATCAGAACAGAAATCTTTCCAACCTAAAAACAAATATAAGTCATTTCTGAGGAGCAGAACACGTAAATGTATGTCCCTGAGGAATTTGGCATGACGAGCTCACAAGGACTGCCCGAATGCCGAAACCTGGACGGCATACATTACACAACGTAACTTCTGTGTGAAGTTGATCCGCGAGGACAAGGTCACGCATCAGCAAGAGTTAATGAAGCGATTCTGCACGAACCACAAACTTCTGTAAAGGCATGTCAGTAGCCTTCGTAAGGTGAAGCGCAGAATTGCAGCACTCGTCACGACTGATGGATGCATGTGGCCAGCAATGGAAGCAGCCAATCTCCTACAGCTTCATTACTCCCACACTTTCCAGCAGGTAACGAGCCCAAATATTCTCCTCGTTCTATTACTCCGCGGTCGGGTTTCGACAACATCACCTTCACTGAGAAAGCTGTGTTGAAGAAATTGCTATCCTTACATATCCACAGTTCTCCTAAAGTCGACAACATTCGACTGAAGGCTCTGCAAGTAGTAGTTAGGGATCTAGTAGAACGACTGGTCGTTTCCTATCAGCGATGTTTAGAGGAAAACCATATACTATGAGTACCGAAGCGAGGGGTCATCACTCCTGTTCATGAGGAGAGTAGCCGCACTGACCCTACCAACTACAGTCCAATATCGCTACTTCCTGTACTATCCAAAGTGATGGAATCAATCGTCGCAGCTGCGCTGATGCAGTATCTGGAAAACCACAAGTTAACAGCCCCAGAGTAACATAGCTTTCATCAAAAGCGTTCCTGTACTACTAAGCTATTGATTGCACGTAATAGCTGGACTGAAACCGGTGATGATGAATCAAGAGTCGATGTCATCTACCTGGACTTCTCAAAAGCGTTCGATTGCTTAGACCATGGAATTCTCCTTCACAAGCTTCGAAACTATGGCATTGGCGACCCAAGCCTGAGCTGGATTAGCGATTTTCTACACGAACGTCGGTTAAAGATAAGAATCCGAGAATCTCTGTCCAATGCAATTGATGTGGTGTGGTGTACCGAAGGCTCGGTGCTTGGCCGCGTCTATTCTTGGTATTCATTAACGATTTTGCGAGATCAATAACTTCTGAGTTCCTATTTTGCGCGGATGGTATCAAGATATGGCGAAGGAATCAGAGGACCGTACGACCACGAACGGCTCCAGTGTGATCTTATCACGATGTCGAACTGGTCAGTTCAAAACGCCCTACCATCCAACGTAGACAAATATCCCGTTGTGTAATTAGGCCATAGACATGACTACACGTATTTGCTTTGGGCACACGGATGGTATACCAGCTCTCAGGAACGTGACCTTGGTGTGCTCGTACAGAGTGACTTCAACTGTGCAAAACAGACTGAGGAAGTTGCGGAGTGGCAACCAGCCCGTCTGCCTGTCGCGAAGGGCATTCAGGAGATTTGACCCATCAGTCTTCTCAATGATGCACGATTCCTACGTAAGCCCGCACGTTGAATAAGCTATCCAAGCTTGGCAACCTTGGTTGAAGCGCGACCTAGAGGCACCACAACAAAGAATAAAAAGGGCGCTCTCTATCACTCTTACCACCGAAGGGTGAAGTGCTGGGGGTTTCCGCAGACACTGCCGAAGGTTGCGCGGTGATCTCATGTTAGCGTAGGAAATATTGAGTGACCCCAACCACGTATTCCGCCATTTGCTAAAACTCATCCAAAACACGCAGCTCAGGGTCAGCTGTTTGAAATTGAGGGAACAATATAGGCGACTAGAGTGTCGGCGGAATTAGTTTTCCTTTTTGGTTTGCCAACCCTGGAACCTACTCCCAAACTCAGTTGTATCCTCCCCTACTTTGAACATCCACAAAAAGCGATTGGCTGTTGCTCTTAAATCCAAGCACTTCGTTACCTGAACTAAGCCATTTTGGATTAAGTTAATCATGCCCTTCTATGGTATATGGATCCAATGAGGCGGCGCATAAGTGTGCGACCATATTGTACTTTTCTCACACCTTACATCAACGAGCACTGCACCCCGTGTATTTCTGCATGCTTACAGTGGATTTTTATTCTACACTAATGTTATGTATCAACGCATTTATCTCGGTAGACGACTCATATATTTCGGTTCCATTGTATGCACCCCAATCATCCTATGGGACGTGTCAAGCACTTGCTTTTATCCCGTGATAAATCAATGTTCATAAACAGTACAAGTACTATGAGAACAGCGACCAGAGTAAATACAAAGCATTTTGGATGTGGCAATCACGAATAGCACAAACACAGGTAGATAAAGATTTTCTAAAGAAGCAGTATCATAGTGCTGGACGTCCTAACCATGGGTTTTTGAAAGCATACAGAAAGTAGCCTACCTTGTCTGGGTGAACAGCGCGTGCGGCATTGCGGTACTGGCGCTTAACTTGATCTGGATGTAACAGATCAGTGATTCCAACCGGGTTCCATCTGACACCTTCCCAAAGAATTGCTGGTAACGAGCACAAAAGGGCTCGCAAGTTGCGATCCTTACCGTGAGTCCAATCTTGTACCTGAAATCGGCAAAGATGAGACGCGCGAAAAGAGAACATTACTGTCATAGCAAGATGAGTAGTTCAGACGAGGTTAGCCGAGATTAACTGTTGAGATCAATCCAAGAAAATTCCCGAGAAGTGTCACCCAGGGAAGAAAAACTGTACAGCAACAGCCGAGGAAATAACAACAATCTCAAGTACATTGTACTGAATTATCTTCCCAGTTATGTTACGAACATGAGTCTATAAGATGCCTACGTACTGTGTTATTCATTATGCGAAGCCAGAGGCCAATAAAGATGTGAAATCGAAAACAGAACCCAATGAGGTATAAATGGATCAATCAAATCAAAGAGCACAATATCGGAAAAACAAATATAATCGTGTTAAGTCAAAGTACATGAAATCTCTCAAGTTTGCTCTCTCGATTCACATACCGAGAGTAACAAAAATGGTATTAGTAAACGATTGCATATGGTCTTACGGTTACGGATGACTCCCTCGAGCAAGCAATGAGACAGATAACGGTTGAAGTAAAACTGCGACGAGATATGTATTATTGATCTGGAAGTAGGATAAGGTAAGGAACCATAATATGGACGAGAAAATAAGCTAGGCCCTTAGCAAAAGCGTTTGATCAAAAAGGCTAACAACAAGGTAGCGGTAAAGTTCGATAGTTAGAGAGATGACTTAGTAGCACAGACATGAGCGTCCCCCAGTTCCAGCCCCCAAGCTGGAAGACTAGGATTGAGTGTACCTGTTCTTTACACACTGATTGATCCAGCAGGAGTAGCTCACAAATGGTATGAAAGTGCCAGCCGGTACGGTCAGACGGATTGGAGAGGTGTGCAAACCGTCGTGTAACAACAAGACTCAGTCTTGCTGAGACGCAACTCATCCCGCCATTGCCGCGTTAACGAAGCAGCACTGTGAGATCAACCCAGTTGGACCAAATGCCTTGATATCACCAGAGATACGAATGGAAAACACAGAAAACAATTACTCTTGAAGTACTTCTGTTGTGAGAGGGAGATGGAAGGTCTGATGTGGAGCGAGCATGCGGTTTGCTGGACTGTTACAAGCCCAACTGTGCCGCAAAGACCAGTCGATCTAAAGGATACTAGGTAAGGATGATAAGGATGTAAAAACAAAGCGGATCCGAATACACAGCTTGTTGAAGCTCAGGAGGAAGATTGCAGGCAATGTAAGGGATTTCCCATCCATAAGCTTACCATCAACTCCTCCGGATCAGTACTGATTGCTTTCTGCTCCCGGCGCATTTGGTTGACTGTCTTTGGCTGGCCCGCGTTCTCCGTGTTCGACGCTGAACCAAAGTCACCCAACAGATCGGAGAAAGCGTCCTTCCCAACCTTCGGACGAGCACCAGAACTGCTGGTCGTGAAGCCAGCTCCGGAAGAACTGGGATCTGGAGGGCGGGGCGTTGAGGATCCAAATATATTTGGCCGTGAGGACTGAGGGGGGATGGTCGTGGTTGCTGAGTTGAACGCGCTGTTAGTATCCGTCGAAGTTGGGGTGAAGTCTGTGTTGAAGTGATGGATATAACAAGAATCAGGGCCAGAAATGAATACGAGGGTATTCACTCTTTAAGAGTGAAAACTCACCGGACCGAAACGTTTACACAGAATTGATTATGTGTGGTAAGCGTCCGGTCGGGATGGTGATGAACTTCTAAAATGTTTGAACAGTGAAATCGAGAACTTAGCTACAGATGATAGGCTAAGGGAACAAAGAAATAGTTGAACGTCAAACCTCAGTGATCCGAAGCCAATAGCTCAGGTAACAACCAACCAGCTAAATAACAGTGTCTTTTGGCCACGGTAGCAGTATAAGCCGTATACATCACTTTTGCACACGTAATACCGAGTTCAGGTGGTAGATGGAAATACTCTCAGCAATGGACAAGAGTAGTTTCCAGAAACCTTGCAAAAAGCGTTCAGGCAATGAGCAGATGACTTTAAAGTCATTCTCAGATGTTGTATGGCCACAAGCAAGGGGATGCAACATAAAAGAGCTGTTTGAGGGCCTCATATCGTCTTTGTAAAACCACGCCGGAATGCGCTCGCGAATCCAATGAGATGGGCGACCCGTAGTGCGACCAATGCACTCATTTCTGGTTTTGATTCTTGTTAATGGAATGGGAATATTTGTTTTGCTAAGGACCAGCACTGTCCGTGATTCGCTCAAAGGGGGGGTTAGTCAAAAAAGTTGTAAAAAGGGAACGATGAGCGGCATCGATAAGAACATGGATCATTAGTTAACGAAATCTGATGGCAAGAAAGCCAGCTACAGTAACGATCGGTAAAATGTGAAAGGACTGAGAGGCAGAGGACGTAAAAGTAATAAGGCGCACATGCGCAACTCCAGGGTGAGAATAAAGCACTACAAAAGCATGCCAACAACTGAAGTGCGCCAATCGTTTATGCAAATGGAGACACGTGCTACAGGAAGTAAGGGCAATAGCTGCCTTTGCAGAACGTGCCACATTCCCAGAATTCAGGATGCTGGTCACTCCACAAGTGGATGTGTCCAGGATCGATTCAAGGTACAAATGGCATTAAAGAAGCATAGAAAGCGAATCGAACATTTTGAGAAAATTGATACGGTTGTGGTAAAAGGATTTTGTGGGGCTTGTCTGTCTGTGGGATGGCCAATTTACGTTGAAACGCGTGGTCAGGGAATTAAGGTGAAACAACAACGGGAGACAGATCAGTACGAAAATTGTATCGTTTAATAGACACAAAGCAGCGGCGGAAGCCGCGTTTATAAAATCCAACATAAACCGAAGTCATTGATTGGTGGCATAAACCGAGTCGGGGTCTGCTTAGATACAGTCATTGCTTTATGCACACTCTTCTGACGTCAGCTGAGGATGTCTGTCAGTGGAACTGAAAATGCATTGAGGTGAAGGCAAATGAAGCTAATCTGAAAGCTTAGTGAGGTTGTGCATGGGGGCCTTGTTGGAGTTCGGATGCAGGCTAACATAGGGAAAGAGAAGCAGCGTCATTTTCAACAGATAAGGAATTCGACCGTATCACGTGGTATCTGTAAAGCTAGTTATAAGTCCAACTTGGCATTGAGTCACACAAAGCAACAGTTATCAAACCCTGTGTTGGCGGGTGAATGACAGCTGAGGCAAAGACAGAGAGTTCAGAGTACTTGTCCTGGATTTCCTGGTTTGGAAAGTAGTTTGGAGGACTCAAAGTATAGCAGAAGCAGCAACCGTCGTAATAGCTAAATAGAACGAATACACGCACTAATGAGAAAATACTCACTGCCATTTAGAGTCTGGTTTGTAGATGCAGGTACGGTTCCAGTTGGTTGGGGCTGATGGCCAAACAATTCGAAGAGATCCACGAAAGGATCCGTGTGAGCGGGTTTGAAGGTTTGGGTCCCGTTGGTTGAGGACAGCGAGGTGTACGACGCAGATGGATGTAAAGGAGTGGTTTTGCTCGCAGCCAAATTGGTCACACTCACACTGGCACTGAGATGACGGTGGTCGAAAGCAGATTCGAAGTGCACAGCCGGGTTTTCTGGTGACTTTGGCGCTCCGGTGAATTTGAGCGAACTGTCATCTGTTGTAGTGGTAAATAGGTTGAAGGGGTTGGTAGATGCTTCCGTAGTATGAACTCCTTCTCTGGGGACATCAAACGTAGACGACCAGTCGGAATGAGTTTGCTCACTGGGCATATTCAAGTTAAGAAAGTCGTCCACGAAAGCAGTGCTCGGCAAATTAAAATTCGCAGCATTCACCTTCACATTAGATGGATGAGAAGCAACATCAATTAGAATAGGGGGTTCCGGACTAGTTTGTGACGGTTCCCGATACAGGTGCGATTCGGCGGTGTGGAAACCAAGTAAGTCTTCCACAACAGAGGATAACTGCGAGTAAAAACAGAGTGCACCGGTAAGCAGAACGTGAGCCAGATAACACAAGCAATTATGGGTCATCATAAAGGACCAGTCAAATGTAATAAAGCCCTTCGAACTAGAAGCAAATAGTCACTAAGGTTCAAGTTGATCAAAAGTAAAATTTAAGAGGGGGTTTGTCAATACGAGCAGGTTGACGACAGACGTAAAGGATGAGAGCGATACGAACAACCTCAATGAAAACATAATGGAGTAGCGATGATCGAAACCAACCTGATCAGCGGTTTGTGCCACATCGTCTTGATTCTGGACCTCATGAACAGTGTTCGAGAGGTCCACCGAGGATGGGCGTGATATATCACGCTCTTCATTAGGAGGTAATCCGGAAGCGAGTGTCACGACAGGATCGGAAGTTTGCTGTGGACCCGTGGGATGGAGTGGGGATGCATCGGAGATTTTCGTGGCATCGGAAATGGCAGCGAAATTGAATCGACCTAAGATGAAGAAGCGATGGATGATTACTGGATGGAAGTAGTAAGAAGAAATATCTCAGGATAGCTCAATCTAAAATCTCTCAGGTATAGTGGCCAATCGTGTTGGTGATCATTCCCAATATTTCATATCGGCAAAGTATTGGTCAATAAATTTTTTGAATTCCAACACCGAAGTTGATTCGACTACATGAGGCGGCAAGTTGTGCCAGCAATGCAACATTTTCCGTTCGAAGCAGAGTTGGTGAGCGACCCGATTCAAATGACGGTGGAAATTACAACGGCAGAAAGAAAATAGATATTTGTTTGTTGCTGACAGAGTCGTCCGCCCAACCCCTACTCTAAAGCGACAATTGTGAAATATTACAAACAAAATCAAACTCCATGTAACAATTTGGAGAACGTGGTAGACGTATTGAAGTGCAGAGAGCGAAAATGCGGGCAGCGAACGAGAGTCGAACAAAAAGTGTGTCAAAGATGTGGAGGAGATAGAGCTAAGCACATGGCCTCCGACAAGCTGCGTCGCGGAACAATGCAACTGCTGACCTAGTGACAGGAGAAAGTAAGGAAAATGGCGACTGTGCTTGTGAGCGATAGCTGGAGGGCGGATAGCGCATTCGGATAAGATGGGCGCGGCCCAAGAGGGCAGAATTCGCGCAGTATGAGGACTATTAAACAGAGTGAGTACGGCAAAGGAAAGCAATCAACCTGGTTGCCATGGGGTAGGAATAGAACACCAGCAACGTTTGATAAAGCGGCGAAAAATGGAATATTCCACGGATATGAGTTGTCAGTCAACAAATGGAAAATCGTAAGGAAAAGCTGAACATCAACTTGTTGAGAATGCAACGTGATGCAGGCGAGTTAAGTGTTAGAGAACTCACGTCTAGATATCATAACAGTTTGTATATCGAAACTGGTGACAATTTGCGCGCTCCTTTCGTGATACCTTTCCGACTCTCTGTTGTGCTGCGCATCCTCAGCACAAGGTTTTAGTGGAGGCCGATTTCTACCCAACGCGTCCTTCGTCTTGTTGATTGGTGCATCACGCTTCCTTCGTCAGCGACGATCCAGGATTCCTCTGATTGCCTTGCGTCTCCTTGTTTCCACACATACTACGCATTAGTAGTGCACCACAATCCTCTTCCTCCAAAGTCTCCGCGGCAGCCGAACTCTCAAGCAGTCTCTCTGACCTTCGAGGCTGCTCTATGTGTACCGTAACTTCTTCGCATCATTCGTGCCACTTCCTCATTTCGCTCGTATGAAATCGCCGCCTATTTCCTTGTTGAGCGATGGTGTGTACGGGCCCACGCCGACCGATTAGATCATACGGCCCATACCACTTTGGCAAGAGTTTCATCTCCCCTGGGTCAAATGTGGTCGCATGTTGGTGATACTTGTACTTCATCTTCGAACCTATCGGAAAGTCTCCGGACGGTTTCTTCGTGTTTACTCGGGAGTTTATCATCACCAGGTCTTAAGTTACCCGCAGATTTTGGTTTGCAACCTTTCGGTTGTTCTGTGCTTCACTTAGCGGTAACTGGCAGGCCGGCGAAACTCTCACCTTCAGATCCACAGAAAGCTGAGGTTTGCAATTTTGTATTAAGTGGAATGCAGATCGCTTTGTGCTCAGAAACGCAAGGAGCTAGCAAAAGCAGTGGTAAGCCTTCTTTCCAATCTCTTCCTTTCGCCACCAGTCATTTTACAATCGCTCTATTATTCTTGGCCGTCAATCAGTTTGTCCGGGGATGGTACGGAGTAGTTCGTATCTTCTTGGTGCCCAGTCTCTCCAAACATGTCATGAATTCGTCACATTCAGAGCATGGGTCTTGATCCGTCAGTATAGCCTTCGGAATCCCGTGGCTCACTATCACGTGTCTGATCACGCTATATCATTGTGCCAGCCAATTGATCCGGAATCGAAGTGGCTTCAATCCATCGGGTGAAGTGCTCGGTCATCACAGTAAATACTGATTGCCTCGTCTTGTTAAGGGGAACGGCCCCATCACGCCGATTGACGACTACTCGCCAATCTCAGACACTGGAACCGACAGCATAAATCGTGGTGTTCCTTGATTGTCTCCTCTCAAGAGCTGACGCTGCTGATACGAGAGCACGTATATAACAAAGTCTTTTTAATGCTCAGCCAGTAACCTCGCTATCTAAGCAAATCATATGTACTGATGCACCCGGTGTGAGCTATCTCGTGAAAAGAGATCACCAATGTTTACGTCAATTTCGGTGGAATCACCGGCTTCGCTGAGGTCCAACTTTTCCAGACCGCACGAACGGCCCGAATTGCTGGCCTTGGCTTTTGGTTGCAGCAGTTTGACTTATTACTTGTGCTGTTATCACCCAGTTCAGGAGTCCGTTCTTTCGTTGTTCAGCCGCCAACTTTACCGGATCCTGCTCTAGCACAAAACCATTGACAACGAAGACGACGCTCGGTAAATCATCATCATTCGCTATGTGTGATAAGATATCCGACGTTTCGTTGTTTTCTGCTGAAGTGTGGCCTATCGTGAAGACGTATTTTTGTAGGAGCAGCGCCCATCTAGCCAACTTGCCTCTGGAGTTTCTAATCCATTCCAACGATCTGTGATCCGTTTCGAGGTGAAACCGTTGACTCAACAAGTACGGCCACCACTTGTCAGACATTCCCTCTCTACTGTCGAATACTTGCGTTCCGACAGTTTCAAAACACTGCTAGCGTATTTGCTCGTACCCCGCTTTTGCTTCACTCCGACTGCACCCGCGACATCTTCGAAACGCTCCAGCAACTTCGCTAAGTCCTCACCCACAAATGGCTCCGGCCAAGGGATCTTCATGTTCCACTTCTGTCTGGTCAAAGAGTCAAATCTTAGGAACGTAACGCCGTGCAGACGAATTACGTAGTAGAGAACTAACATCTAGATAAAACATTAATACCAAGATAGAAACGCGGGCCAATTTGCACACTTCCTTTGTGGTACCTATCCGACTCTTATTTGCGCTGCGTAAATTCATTCACAACGTATTGGTGGAGGTCGATTTCTACCCAACGCGTCCTTCGTCTTGTTGATTCGTACGTCACGATTCCTTTGTCCACGGCGATCCACGATTTCTTTGGTTTCCTAACGCCTCCTTCGCGCCACACACACTACACATTAGTAGTGCACCACAAACTGATTAGACTGTGAAGAAAGTAGTGGGACCGAAAGCATTAAAAGTATCTACTGAAAGCACTCGCCAGTCGTTAAATGATGCGACGCTATGGAATTATCGTATCAGTAAAGTACTGAAAAGTTTCACTTCAAAGCAAACATCTAAATAATCACAATGAGCTTACTCTTCGGAAATGCATGACAAAATGAAACCATGGTTGGTGGGCCCGGATGATCGAGTGATAAAAGGCATCAGCAGTACGGCGGTACGCAATACTGACACTTCGTTGTCGCGTAATCGCCATCAGTTGCACGTATACTAAGGAGACTGAGAATGTCTACCGGTCCGCTATGCTGGCTCTAACCCGCGTCCCCGGATTACAAGGCAGCTTTGTGATTCTTAAGGTGACGGGTCGACAGGTTGTGTCACCAACATTGATCAATGAAGTGAGAAGATATGACCATTTTGCAGTGTTTCGTCAAAAGAAAATGAAAGGAGTCAAATAAAAAACATTCACTGCAAAAGAGATTGGAAATGATAACAGAATAGGTAGAAATTCATCACATATAAGCTCTCTCAGACAGCAGTCACACGCCCAGAAAAGCACTGTACGCGCGTTGCATCCTTTCGGGAATCGTCAGCAGTGTGCATTCCATCGGACCCTGGTAGGGCTCGAACCCGCAACTCGACTGTTGCCAGTCCGTGGTTGAGACCACTGAGCTACGGGGGAAGGCAACGACCAATGTGGATAAGTTACCAGATGTGATATAGCACCGCTCACTGCTGACAATTCCCGAAAGGATGAAACGCGCGTACAGTGCTTTTCCGGGCGTGTGGCGGCTGTCTGGGTGAGTCTACACGTGAGGAATTTCTACCTATACCATTCAACTCCCCCTACTACTCTTCTGAAATGATAATAGGACAGTCCAAATGGAAGAACCAGCACAATTATCATGGAGCAAGTCGGTCTGATTGAACCACTTCGAATCTGCTTGGTACAAATGGGACATGCAGTGTGGAGCATGTGGGCTCTTTGGTAGCATGGAGATGAGTCCAGTGCCACGATGGTACTGAGTCTGAGAGTACCACTTCAATAAACCACAAAGTGCCGAACAGTACAGCTAGTCCAGCCACTAGCAAGTTATCGCCGTCTTTTAGCAGCAGTGGAAAAATATTGCTAGAGATTCAGAGGCTCCTTAGCATGAATGATAGCGTTCTTCATCTCACAGACTCCTGACGCTAGTGTGGATGAGTTGGACGAAGCACAATAACTCGGCTGACAGATTGGAGACGGTGTTTGAGTCAAAGCCAGTTTCTGTGGTTCTTCCTTGGTGCAACCAGTGTGAAAATAGTGAACTACTGTTGTGTTAATGGCCGTGGGTAACGAATGAGACAAATAAAGATGTGATCTCTCTAAAGGCCTGCGGAACATTGTCTAAATGATACACTGCAGAAGTGGCTTAGATCATTTCGGTACAAAACTAGTGTTACTGGTACAACTCGAAGGGGCAGCAGTGAAGATGAGCTGAAATGCAACGATCACATGTAGGTGAAAAAATGTTACTGATCAAGTGGGACATAAGGTTGAGGCACCAGTTGATGAGGTCGTGCGATCTAAACCCGGAAACTAATAAGGGAGAGTAGCATAGGGGAGACAGTTGTATAGTCCCTCTAGTTGCAGTGGTACTGTGATCTGTAACTGATATCTGAGAGGTGGTCAGATTTCCAGATGGATGAAAGGTCTGTGACGCCAACGCGGTGCGAGTACGCAACCATTGAGGAGTGTGTGCGGCTATACAAAAAGTAGAAATAACGGCGGAAAGGATGGATGATAAGCAAGAGCACTACCAGAAGATCCGTACAATAGTCAAAAGAGTACACAAGAGATGGCAGTCACGTGAGTGGGAACCAAAGTGCTGCTTCAGTAAAAATTGTGCACGCAACTGGCGCAAATACGTGCAGGTAGAGGGTTTGAGATTCGAATGAGAAGACACACCAAAGGCTCTAACCCACCGAAGTCGACCAGTAAACGCTGCAACTCCGCATCGTCCGAAACACAAAGACTAGGTCGAAGAGACTCGATCGGGGGAAGCATTTCCCAAGGATAGACCAGATTTTTACCATGCCGAGGGCGCTCGTTAGGTGAAACAATGAACTCCATGGTTACGTTGAAGCTTTCCGCATAGCGGCTGGTAAAACCGCCAAATCCACTGCTCGAGTCCAGATGGTCAAGATCCGACCTGCGGGTAAATGAGCAGGGTGGTAGAGAAGACGATTAGAAACAAACGAAATAGGAAAGTTGCAAAGAATAACTCCAAGTGAGACGGAAACTATGCTATTTCTGAGTGATCAGATGTAAGATTCAGAAGGAGACGAATCAAGGTTCCGATGTAACACACCCGCTACCTGGACAGTCGCGCCTAATCCAAATGGACATGTTGGAACAATCGTGAGAGCGGATCCATGGTGGCGAATGCAGATACGGCGCCTTCCCCTTTAGATGAGTGAAAGAAGTAACTTTAGTGAGTGATGATGAAGGATGGTCGCACTGAGACCTCACCGACTAGCAGGAATACTAGATGAGGAGATGCGTCATGGCTGCTCCGAAAATGGGATATCATCAAGTCCCTGGAGGAATGCGATAGAGTAGCGTGAGCAATCAAAGAGATTTTAGGAGCATCTACGATTTCCGGATTCGCAACTTCCGTCGAATCCATCAATGCACGGAAAAGCGATGGTGATGATTGAAGATTGAGCGATCAAGTGAAACGGACTTTCAACCAACCCAACATAGAAGCTAAGAAGTTGTAAAAAGGATCCGTAGCCAGTTCACATGTGTGTGTCCAATGATGCATCCATTATTCTCAGACGGCGGATTTAACAAACACTGCAAGCCCACGGTGGGTGGTAGTTAGATTTTGTACACTTTATTAGATGCTGTATCGTTTAAGACATGCAAACGCCCCAAAGGAACCAAGAAAACTAGCTAGCAGCGTGAAAACGTCTAGCTCAGTGGATAGAGAGCAGCGACAGTTAGGGGATGTGGTGGGTAGAAAATGCAGGAGTTCTATGAAAGACATGGTGCCCATAATGAAGAAAGACTACTTATCTATAAAGACATAAAGATACGACCTTCCAAACCCAGTTTATACAGCTGGCACATGCGCGAATACTGGGAGACTGCTGACACCGTAAAGCACAATCACAAACGCTGATCACTAATAGTTGAATTGCTTGACATAACGGACTTTATAAACAACAGGCATGCGCTTAAGCGATGTGTCACATCTTGGTACAAAGATAAATAAATAATAAATAATGTTTCAATCAAAACAATTCAAGACATGCCCACGTAGGAGTGATCGTGATGATACAAACATTAAGCACCGGCATATGTAAATAACGGTAAAGTGTATCAGTAGCATATGGATCTATATGATGGGTGTGCATGAATGCATGTAGGTATGGATGTGTGTTGGGTTGTGCTGCTTGGAATGGTGAATGTAACGCCGTATTTCCGATTGCTTTTTGTTGGATCGTCGGCGTGAGAGAAGATGTAAGGAAATCTTCGTATTGAATGACTGACGTCCGTGGATGTAGTAAGATCATCTGGATACGTGGCAAGTCACATTTTCCACGTCGCAGTGTTATTAAACAGACCTTTGTGACATTTTACAGAGAGAACGCTTGCCAGACGGAAACCCACCACGTCCTGAAACACTGCCGCCGAACCATTCGCTGTAACGGAATTAACCCGAAGCAATCAGCTAGCACCACGAGGTTGTCCGGCGAGCCGTCGTGAATTTCAACTTCGCTCAGTGTACAGCTGTTGATAAGCTGTGTACGCGAAGTGCGGAAATATGTGCATGAAAACCTCACGGATAAATCGGTTAACACAACAGAAGGCGTCTAATAATTGATAAAGCGTAAATTTAATGCAACAAGCTAAACGAAGCAAAGGGAAGAGCGGACCAAGATCGTGTGCAAAGGTACCCAAGAGTGACAGGAACTATCTCTAATAGATGTGGTGTTACCAAATCATCATACACAATGGGAATGATTCGCAGGCGATTCTTACGCACCATCAGGATGAATCGCAGATAAAGCATAGCGACAGTGGTGATTTCGAAGAAGGAAATGTTACATAAAGGTCAGACAGTTATCCCCAGGCAAACTACACTGGCGAGAAGAACTCTCATCCATTTTGCACACCGAAGGTGTGGTAGGAAGAAGGCAGTTTTACTGCAAGCGGCCCATTGGGTGCACGAAGTCGAATGTTTACTTCAAAAAAACCGGTACACCCAAAACCAGCTCAGTTAGTAAACCACAATCGAAGCACAGAAGTGCGACAGATATATTAGTTCCACGACCTCCATCTTTGTGATAACAACAGCTGACAACAGTGAAAGAAAAGGGATAAGAGATCGAGTGAACAAGCGCAGGGGTTTTTCGACGGAGCTGTGTAGAATAAGATAAATTACTTATTTAGCCGAGCTCAAGATCATCACAATAGATTTTCGTCGCGTCACCGACTGATTGCTTTCAAGTCCGGCACAACCAGATGTAGTTGTAGTAGTAATAGCAAAAATCCCCATCGAGTTAACGGTATGCGAAGGGATCCACCGGTTTGCCATAAGCGATAGTTTGGAACTTTTAAGCGTCTTGTATATAAGCTCACATTCGGACAGTCATCGGAAAATTTAGGTATGTTTTCGGGCTGGACCTACCCTCCATTACCCAGTGAATCGAAATTACAGGGTAGAAACTCCAGACAGAAAGCCCCAAGTAAAAAAAACTTATCTTGGTGCCTTGGGACAACAGGGATCGATGTTAGCCATAGTGAAGAGGTCCACTACTGCGCATGGTCAGTAGCCCAGACGTTCGTATCGAGGTACTTGGTACTCATCAGAAAGCAACCTACTCTAACCCCAAACTGACCACACCGCTCTCCAGAGGAATATGTGCCGCATGGGGGTTAATGATAGTAAAGCAATCTGGAGCACCAATCACAACACTTGTGGCAAACGAGTGCGCCCCACCAGAAAACACAATTCACCGGTTCTGGCAAATCATCTCAGGGCCATATTTATCAGCGACTCACCGTAATCGTGTTTCTCGACAGCGAAGGTGCCTTCAATTTGGCGGATCGATGTGCCCTTTGGGACCAGTTGAGTTAGAAAGCTGTTCCCGATAAACACGTAGACAGTATTAGAGCGTTTTACGCGCGTAGTTCCAGCACATTAAGAGTTTATGACAAGCTGTCACCGAGCTTCAATACCTTCACGGCGTGAGACAAGGTTGCATACTGTTACCTTTCCTTTTTAACTTTGCAAGTAAAGAAGTTCTGGGAGATGCGCTCACTGAACACGAGCTAGAAGGTGTGGAGCAAATCCTAGTTGATCGATTTATTGACTTGCAGCACACCGAAAACATTGCCCTAATCTGGGACAGTCCACAAACGTGTCAAGGAGTATTTGACAGATTATCGCTGGCTGTCAATCGTTTCAAGCTACGGGGTCCATACCTTTGAAATGCAAAATCCCTCTTCAAGCGCGGCAGAGACCCACTCCTGCGCGTATAATCCGCAAGAAGTCGTTCAGAAATTTAAGTACTTAGGCAGCTATACTAGGGTCTGTGGAACAGAAGATGAGATCACGAACCATATAGGAAAAGCTAGAGGCGCATGCCAATGTCCGCCACCTATGGAGCCGGCGTCACATTACTCTCGCCGTGATAGAGTTTATAATGCAGCCGTGCGTTCAACGCTACAGTGCGGACGCGAGACTTGGCTCAGCAGATCGACAGACCTAAAGATGCTAGTTACGTTCAAGCATCGCTGCCGTCGCAGCTTAGCTCATATCTGGTGGGAACACCGCGTGAGCAGTGAGCGTGTTCGGCGTCGCGTATTTGGTGCAGGAAGAGCGAGTGAACCGCTCAGCACCAGTATAGAATGCACCATGCTTTGAAGAATGGGCCACCTATTGCGCATGTCAGCACACCGACTCCAGCGATGTGCGTTTGGATAGAGAGAAGGGGAGGCTAAACGATAACTTAATTAAGAGAAATGAAGGTCTTCACTTCGAACTTGGTGTCAGCTGGTGTCTCGCAGTTGAAGGAATGAAGAGCCGACCTCATTGGGGTGAGTTTCTTTGTTTATCCCCACTTAGCTTCCCTTTCTAACCATGATCTCACTATGATACCAAGCATTGTTCTACTTGTTTTTAGTGTTTATTGTTCTCTATTAGGTTCAGTAGGGCGCATGTTCATATATTTTGTCTTCTATTGCGGCACAATAGCTAACATGTAATGACGATGATGATCTCGTAACTTACGATCCATGATGATTCAGAATGAGTCAAAAAGGCCTTTGCTGGAAACGGAGGAGGTGGAGAAGCGACTGGAATCGTTGTTCATGGGTAGCCAAAAGGACATACGAAGTCGTTTGTAGGTTTACATTGTAGTGCCCAAGTACAGAATTGGCCAGCGGAAGTTCGTGTGGCACGATTTAAGCATAAAAGATAGAATTGGCAAGTAAGCAGTTGTATGTAATCCGTAGCACCCTGGTATGGTGACTGACAAATTAGACCGAGAGAGAGAGAGGTTGACGGCACGGCAAAAGAACGAGTACTATTGTAAGCCATACGACAAAGGGATCCAAGAAAGACGATTTGAGGCAAGAAATGGACTAACAGACTTTAAAGAATGATTCAGCCGATTCATTGTGATACCGTTGTTAGTCGAGTTATTTGAATATGCCTGAGATGAGAAATGTTCATGTTTAGAGATGAAATCCCAAAGTTGCGCCTATCAAGAAGAATATCGTAGCCTATTTGCAGCTGCCCCCATTCCCCAACTAACCTACAAGGCACGGCGATAAAAAGACCGTATAGTGGAAACACGTGAGAAACGTCTAAAATTCATACTGGGAGCAGTCACTACGCGACACCCAAAAGATCGATTTTTCTGTCTCGCTGTGGGTACATCAACATCATCATTATACCCTTTAGCTAGGAGATGGGAAACACCTCAGCTATTATGCCGCATCGCTGTGGGCATCTTGTGATGATTCACTAAGTAATAAGAAAATACGATAAAACGTTTGGGACGCACTTAAAGTAAATCAGTTCAGTCTGATCTGCCTCCACGTAACCAGTGTGAAGCTGAAATTGAGCAATTTTCACCGCCGCAACCTGAAAAGTGGACAAAGCGGCATATAAAAGGAAATGGAGTGCATTCATATGGGTAAGAAAAAGCCCAAGTAACAGTTTGAGGGTTGCAAAAAAAGTCAGACAAGTCACAACAAGATCCGCTAGTTAGTTCTCTGCAATGAACGACAAGATATCGAACGTTTAAGGTTGAAAACATTAAATGCCCGTTCTTTTTTGAAAGCCCTGGGTATGAAGTACATTCGACCAAGTATTTTTGGACAGAGTGTAAAACAGCGTGACAACAAAACACGTGAATTAATTATCCATATGTATGGCAGATTTTCCGTGATCTCAAGCAACTAAGATCAAAGGAAAGGGATAACCGTAGAGAGGCATATGATTCCACTCAACATATGAGTTTGATTACTCACACTACATTGGCGGCACGAGCGCAGACAACATGGGGTTGGTGATGCTGAGCCGGCCGGGGTGGTCAAGTGGATCAGACACATGAGGACTACAGTTCACAAGTCACTGGTTCGAGTCCGCGTGTGAGGGCTCGAACCTCGCGAGGTGCCCCTCTGGCACGTACGCGACTGGAAGTGGCTGAATGCAGCATGCTCGGGTGTGATGGCAACACCAGGTAATCAACGCAGAGGTCAGAGACCGAGTGCTTGGAGCGATTAGTGCCAGTCTTCAAGACGTTATTCTTCGACATCGCATGCGTTGGCCCGGGTACGTTTTGCACATGCCAACCCATCGCCTTCCACGTCGAGCGCTATTTGCACTCCCAGGGAGCGAGTGGATAAAGTGCCACGGTGGACGGCCAATAACGTGGAGAAGGAGCATGAAGAAGGCAACCACAAGTTTGGCGATAGTCGGACCAGTCCGTCTTCCAGGTTGGGGACCACCAGATGCGGAATCTCAGTGGTTGGAGACATTGGATGTAACGGCCAGAAACAGACATCAGTGGCGTCAATGCTATTTTTCCACTTTATCCCCCTTTAATGCACACAAAAATCTCACGAAACAAAAAAGGCAAAATGGCGTGTAAAACAAAAAAATCGTTTTCGATTTTTTTTATCGCACTTCGTGTTTCGATCTCCTTCATTTTTTCTTCTGCCATGGTTCTGATGACAGAATGTCTGTTAACAAAATGTGAATATATATATATATATATATATATATATATATATATATCGCAAAGCATCGGCAATGGGTGCCGGCGTATTGTTACCGTCTCACACTCGAGCAAGACGGGAGCGTGGACAAATGCACTACTACTATGAAATATTATTGTTAGGTGGAGAAAAGCATCAGCAACTGTGCTGCAATACAATGCAGTAGGAGGTTTAAAAAAGAAGATAATGCGTAGTACAAAATAGAAGCAACCAACATTAGGCATTTTATTATTATAAAGAGAATGAGATGATGGTTGGAGGATGATGTTGACTAGGATGGGGAGAGACAAAAGCTCACAACACAGACGCTACTGAGGTTGGTTCTTCGCTATGTCAACAAGTGTCTACAAGGCAATACTGCCATCATCGCGTCAGATGGCGCCCACCGAATTCCTCAATGACAAAATGTTTCTCAGTAGTTGCTAAGTCGATAACAACCTGTGTCATGGCAGGCACACATGACTGCTTATAAGACTAGCTGAAACAGTGGTCCATAGCAGGATTGATGGACGCGGTTGCCTTTGTAAATGATTGCAAACACAGTGTAGGAACGCCCGTGTGGGAGACAACAGTGTTTGTCTGTTCCAACTACTCACTTGAATTACCAGATAAAATGCGTGCGTCGCAACTAATTATCAGCCTTGCGTTCTTCCTAGCAGGACGATGTGGCATGTATAAACACCGTAGTCATTGTAGCCCCTTTAGGTGCTTCTTTGTTGAGTAATGCCGATTTCATGAGGATAGCATGCCAGTCCATGGACGTAATAGGGAGGTTCCATCTGCATTGACTGTGCTTCTAATGGTTCCATTTAGAGAGCCACTTGTCAAGGCGTCTCAAAACGTATGGGTGATCACATGGAATTAAAGCCTAATTATCTTATGAATACATAGGTTCCTATGACCTCCACATAACGCCATACATGGAGACACTGAAGCAATAACTGATTAACAAAGTCGCCCATGGGTGTGGAGACAAACGAACACTAACTAACGTCGTGTCAACGCCACACTTGCAATCTTCTTATTTTTTGTTGAATCATCAACTGTGATCGAAGTAAGCTAACTTAGCATTTTCGTTGTTCAGCTTCAGGTTGGTCTACCAACTTCAATGGGAACAACGTCCCCCATGATCGTTGCAATGACAATCGCACACAATTGTCTAGCTGCTTAGCAGACATTGCTGATCTGCGGAATACCACTTAGAAGATTGCCTGTCTACGCCATCATAGTTAGGCCGCTGAATAAGCCACCACCAGGTAGCCGCTAGCGACCACTATAGACCGCTTCATGTGGTGGTTAGTATGTCTGTCCGCACTGGTTACGTCTTAAGCTTCGGATCATGTGGTAGTTAGGTTCTCCTCCTTTTACAGGCATCACAATTTGCCCATTGGACGGTTTCAGGTTGGAGACCAATCTTCGAGATTTACTTCAAATGGGCATCAAGCCAGAACCGAAGGTGGTGCTCGACCACTTTCATTGGACTGTCTGTCGCTTATGCTGTGGGATTCTAACCGGTGTCCGATTGGTTTACGTCCCATGATCAATGAGAGTGTCAACGATGCCAAAACAGCGTTCTTAGCCTCGCTAACTTGAAAGTACTGCACGCGATTTCGAAACCGTGTCACGCTAAAAGCTTGGTACAATGCACTAACATGCGTGTAAAATGGTATAGACAGAAAGATCAGGGTGAAAGACCACTGGTTGAATTTCATGACTGTCAGCGAATAACGGAACGTAACTAAGGCTTACGCGAAAAACTAGCATGGCACATGGGTGCACAAAATGAAAATAATCAGGCCTCGGCAGGAGGGAATCACGGCTGGTTTGTGGAAAAGACAATTCTTCATGCGATTTCGCAGTTCATCGTTAAGTAGCTGAAGTCGCATGGATGGGTGCGGGAGTTGGTAGTAGCGTTTGGCTCAAAAATTTGAAAATCTCCTGCGAGGTCGCTACAATCGTGTCCGCACGAAGACAGGTTGCGAAGTGACAGAAATTTCGTTCAGACTTATGTAACCGAAGGGACAGAATCTTCATGGTCAGCTAGGAATGGCAAAATGTTTACCTTGAGACTAGGCTCAATGGGTAACCCTGGGTAGATGCCACTGGACAAGTGGGTATGTAAATAGAAATCGGTGACGATCAATTTAACTGTTTAGACAAATAAGGGCACATTAGTAGCGTTGGTTAGAGTACGCGCCAGAGAAGTCTGATCATCGCTTACTGAAGACCTTATATATTGAATATAGGACCAAACAGGACTATGAATTCACCGGTGCAGTTGCTTCGCCTCGCCTTCAATGCCGGGCCTATGCGCTATCCACAAACTAACCGAACATGGTTAAAGGCCGATGTCAGTAATGTGGCTGTCGACATTCCCTGACCGGATTGCCTGTTTATAGTGTGTCTGGTATTGACTAATCTGCGGGATGAAGCTGATGACGAGATGGGGCAACGAAGGATGCAAAGAAGCTATATCGACAATATCGTCCTATATTCACACGGTAGTTAGTTGTTTGAAACTATTTGGAATTCGCAAGATTCACCCCATTAAAAAGTAAATAGTTGCTTAGCGTGCTTAAGCCTAACAGCAGGCCACCCGGATCGATCCGCTTATTCATTGTATCGTGGCATTTCGGCAGAGCACTGTCCAGAAAGCTAATGCGCCATTGTTATCATTGAGGATGACGTTGGTTCAGGCCTGTGGGCCGGTAGATGCGGGTTAGGGATTTATGGGGCAGAGAGATGTACATGACTCGTATTCTCACTCGGATGGAATAACGGAGACAGAGGTGATCCTTAAAGCGACTCAGCACCTCTCAAGGCTACAGTAGCATCCCCAGCATGCAGCAGCGAAGACAAAACGTAAGTTTGAGAAACAGGACACTTACTTTGCTACGTCCGGCAAACGAAGAACGGCAGTGATAGATGATCACAGTTAAATCGCCCATCACAGAAATGCCATTGAGCATGAATTCTATTTTTCCGTCTTCCAAAACATAGGATCTGAATGGCAAATGCAGGAAGATGGCAGTGGAAGTGAAACATTAGATAACACAGCTGAATAACAAGCGAGTTGTTTCAGTTCAGTATGGTGAAAGCAAGGGGTTGAGTGTAACACCCAAAACAACAGTCGTTGTGGCACACTGGGTGATCTAATAGATGAACTGTAGGTTTAAAAAATAAAGCATTACCTGTAGCAGACTGGAACATCTCTGAAGACATGTTAACTCCCCGGGGGGCAGTCTTATCGTGGAACCGGTCTGAAGTATCTACTTGGTCACTAAGCGTACAGGGAATCAAATATGCCAGATTTGAAGTACAAAACACGTTTTGATCGTCGAAAGAAACGGAAGAAACAAAGCACAATCAGATCCAGGAAACCTGCACTTAGTGCAAGAGTGGATGTATAACGTGGGTGATACCTCACAAACTCTGATGATCACAAACAGGATGTGCTAGGAGAATCTTTCGTCGATGGAATGTGCAGAGCATTCAGATGACGCAGATCAGCACACAGTTTTGTGGTGGTTTCCCAAGTGCTCACGTAAGATGGATAAAGTCAAGGGGGAATAAAGTAGTATATATTGTAGAAAGAAAACCAGATGGAAACTAAGAGGGTCGTGAGAAAATCAAGCAGCCAGAGGCGTCATCAAGGAGAGCGTGGCTATAAGAGCCACGTAAGCCGTAGGCAAAATTACAGAGGTTGATCGGATGGCGAAATGTGAGCGCACAAAGAATTCAAAGCCGAAATTCCACATTGTTTAGGTGAACTGAGATCGCGGCGGGAACATGCGGAGTAGATTTACGGAGCAGTGATTGAAGGATCAATCAAGAGATGGACATTGAAAATACGTTCGGCAGTGTCCCAATGATGTCGCAGGTAGTTGATACCGTCGACCGATGAACTAGCAACGCGAGGTTCTCTGTTGTTTACTAACAAAACCATCACGTACACTCGAAGTGTTGCAGCTCCGTAATTAAATGGATAAACCGGTTAAAATGTAGTTAGTCTGAAGCAGAAAGTATTTTGAATTTAACTAGGATGAAGGAATGAACAACGTATTGAGCGATCGGAAATATGATCCCATCTGTGGTTTCTCACAAAAACCAGAGGACTAGGTTAGTTTATGTGATAGGGGTTGATTGCGAAGTGATGGATGATATCGTTCAGTATAGCTTGTCAAACAAAATGTGTATACCGGGGCGTGGTGAATCCAGTTGCATAACTAGTGCCACAAAAATATTGGTAACAACGATAATAATGTAAATAATAGCTGTTTAAGAAAAATGAATGCAGGAACGATACTGATTTTGCGATTGGGACATTGAGTATGCAACCAGTGAAATGACCGGTCTCGAAGAGCCCTCTTTAGGAAGGTGATGGACAACAGCCCCGTTCAATCTTCTAGAGAGCTTCTTGATGCACTGGCGAAAAGCGCGCTGAGCCCCGCTCTGGCCGGAGCTGTATAGATCGAATCTTTATGATCCGCCAGATATTTGAGTATCGTCAAACGTTCAGGCGGCCAACAATCGAGCGGCGTTTGAATCAGTTGACCAAAATGCGCTAGCAATTGACTGTTGAGAAGGGGAGTGTACGGTGGGTGTTAATGTTGTTAGATGAACTGTTCGCTGAGGATACCGATTTCGAAGCAAACATTTCGTCACCAGTCGAGGTGACATCATCAGTGCGTTGGTGTGTAGCGTAGCGCAGCGTGTGAACCGGGTAGTCACGCGTGTTGGCTTTTATAGGTCATTGTCATCGGTCGTTGGCCATGTGACCTTTGAAAATGGTCTCTCCGACCCATGCCTTGTGACTATGGCCGGTTTGCTTTCAAAGCTGTAGATGCTGCCTGCGCTGTTTGTATGGTGTCCTTTTCGAGTAAGATCATTCGGCAGTGATCCTTTGCTCGTAGATTTGCGTAGATGGCGTCGATTGCTCGAATTGTGCGTAGAGTGTCATGCTTCTAAGAATTTTCTTGCCTGCTTCGTACGCCTGCTAGAATCTCTAAGTTTTCCACATCAAAATGATGAGGAGCTTCATCCTCATGTACTGAAACCAATGCATAGGTCTTCTTATGCTCAGTGACTCGTGTTGAAAGGTTTCTTCCCGTTTATCTGATGTAGTGCTTATCACATTCACTGCAGTTTATCCAGTATACAACATGGGTTTGACTGCCTTGCTTGATTTCGTTCTTCGGTCTTGAAAGTAACCCTCTCAATGTAACAGCTGGTTTGTGCGCTAAAGTGATTCGATGTTGCTATAGTAAGCGTGCTACTAGATCAGAAAGGTTCTTGATGTATGGAAGTACTACCCGTTTATTTGTCTATCCCGGTCGCCGCTGAGACTTTCTCCTCTTTAGGCTTCTTCTAATAAAGTTTCATGGATACCCAGTGCTTTGTAACACGCGGCATAGATGAGGTTCCTCATTCTTCCTCATTTCCATTGTGCTGCAATGCGTTTCCGTTCTTTTGAGTAGAGTTTGGATACATTTCACTCTGTGGTTCATCGGGTGGTTAGGGTGGTAGTTCAATATTTGCTCCGTCTGAATCTTCCCATATACATTAGCTTGGAGTTCCGTCGGTATCCCTGTGAGCCGAAAGATCCAGGAGTAGCAATTTGTTGTCTTCCACTAATTCAATCGTGAACTTGAGGTCTTCGAATGTGTTGTTAGTCAAAGTATTTACTTCTATAATATGGTAAACTAATTCAAGTCATTACTCCCAGTTCGCGTGAAAATTGTGAACATACAGTGCTTTTGCCAACTCTCAACCTCGCCAGTGTCGTGAGACAGGGTTATTTAGCACCATACTTCCTGTACAACTTCGTTATGAACGACATGCTGGAGAGTGCTTGGAACAACTGCGAACCCAGAGACACTGAACTGTTTTTTGGGGCCTAACTTCGCGAGTCGGAGTAGGCAGACATCACCGTGACATCAGATTCCTTGCGGACCGCTCAAAATGTACTACGTAGGTTGAAGATGTCTGTCTCTCAGTTCGGAATCACCTATACCCCATCGAAGTGTAAGTTCACCCTGCATGGCTGACCAGGACCGGCTGCTCCTCTCACCACTCCGAGTTAGCCTTTGAAAACAGCAGTCAAGTTCAGCGCCAGCGGTCTAACCAATGATGTTTTTTGGCGTGTCTCTAAGGCTCAGGTTGTGTGTTAATCTCAGTGACCTCTGGTGTCGACGCGACCTGTACCGCTTTTTGAAAGGTCGAGTCTATAATGTTACTGTGAGAGCGGTCATGCTCTACGGTTGCGAGACTTGGACTATTCGCGCAGATGTGCAGAAGTTGTATGTGCTTGATCGCCGCTGCCTTCGACGATAGCAACATTACATTAGTAATCATGATGTTGGCAGAAGCACCTTCAGATCAGACAGACTCTGCTCGCAGCCTGTACAAGCTACGGTGACTTGTGCACATGCCAACTCAGTGTTTACCTCGTCATGCCCTTTTCGTACGCGCAAAATTCAGGTGGAAGCGAAAGCAAGGCGGACAACGAATGGCTTGGGCCCAAAGTATGAAGGCACCAGCTACGAAACTAGCCGTGATAGAGCGCTCTCGACTCCTAAGCCGGGGACAGGAGGGTTAAGAAAAACACTTGACTGGAAACCCTCTTGGACACGGCAAGAACTCGAATTCAAAGGTGGGCATGCGAGACCCTGCTTTCGTAGTCACGGCCTTTAATCTCTCTTCCTTTTTCATCGTGTCGTGTTTAATCATGTGTTGTGGCATTATGCGAAATGCACTGCTATTGGCCAAGTGTTGAATATAATGGTAAAATATCCCGGGAGTAGACATCAGAACAAATGTTACCGAACAAGCTCGTTGTTAGTGGTTCATCAACAGGAGAATACATCACGAATGAATGACGAAAACGTAAACCACGGGTAAGGGTATACATTCAAAGGCAAAGATGGTGTGAGTGACAAAGCTAGGTGATTAGTCCCACAGCGATCAAGCGTATGTGTGTGGTGTTATACACACCTTATGTCCGAGTCACAGGGGGGCAGGACAGAGTGAGTGTCCGGACAAACTTCTTATACGCACATAATTTAGGGTCATGGAGCCGAATGACGATCGCTTCAGGTGCTGCTAATAGGCGACATCTAACCGTTCGTGTGTGACATTTGTGCACGCGGTAGATAGGATAGAACGTCTCGTGCGCTTGACCTGGTGGTTCGATTCAACCAAATGCACAGACATTGCGCTTGCCACTGCTCTAATCTCTCCGCTATGCAGCCAAGCTGTGCACTACTCACGCGGTATTCCCACCAGACATGAGCTAAGCTGCGAAGGCAGCAATGGTCAGCCGCAGGTAGCCTCTTTATGTCTGTCGACCTGAAGGGTCAGGTTTCACAACCATATAGGAAGGTTGAACGGACTGCTGAATTATAAACTTTACCCTTCAGGGCGAGAGTGATGTCGCGTCGGCGCCACAAGTGACGGAGATTGCCAAAAACACCTCGAGCTTTTGCTATACGGTACGTGAGCTCATCCTCAATCTCACGAGCGCTAATATAGGTGCCCAAGTACTGGAATTCCTGAACGACTTCTAGCTGTTCACCACCAAAAGTCGGAAAAGGGGTGGGTCCCTATCAATCTTAGGGGAAGACTGCATTTCGAGAGAACAAAGCATAGCCCAAAACAATTGACAGACAGTGGTAATCTATCCAGTGCTGCTTGGCATGTTTGGGCGCTGTCTCATATAAGAGCAATGTCGTCAGCATGCTCCAAGTCAAGAAGTCGCTCACCATCGCGAGCCTCGTTGGTCTGCTTCTGAAAAAAGGTACCCTTCTAGTAAGCCATCAAGGGCTGACATCCGAAAGGCGATCATTTGTGAGCTGTTGAGCTGGATTCCCTCGCATCGCACTACATAAGAATGGTGGTGAGGTCTTGTGTGAAGCACTGACCTCTCTGTTCGAGGTCTGCAAGGAAGAGACAATCCGAGCTAACTGAGTGAATCGATTGTAGTGGCGATATACAAGATAGGCAGC